ATTTCTGAATTTTCCTACAAGTCATCTAAAAAACAAAAACACCTCTAAGGCTACAGGTCATAGGAATATGTTTTAATGGATTTGTTAAAAAGCATTTCACATTTAACACGTGTATTACTGGCAGCCCCGGTGGTGCAGCGGTTTAGCGCTGCCTGCAACCCAGGGCATGATTCTGGAGACCCTGGATCGAGTCCCACATCAGGCTCTCTGTATGATGCCTGCTTCTCCCTCTGCCTGTGTCTCTGCCTCTCTCTCTCTGTCTCTATGAATAAATAAATAAAATCTTAAAAAAAAAACACACCTGTATTACTAAATGCCTTCTTCCAATGCATTGATATTTCTTGTTTTTCAATGGACCCTCAGTGACTTAAGTTAATTTACTCAGTCAACAAACATTCTGAGTTCCTAATCTGGGCAAGACACTCTATTAGGTGCCTGGGAATAATCTGGAGAGCTCCTTCTTACTTCATGTCTCAGGTCAAAGGTCTTATTCTCACCAATAAGAAAAAATGAAAGCCTTCCTTGGGGCTGTGCTCTCCTAGCATGGCCTACATAATTCTTTTTGTGTGGCTACTTAGGTTTGCCTCCCTCACTTGAGTGAATTCTTCTGAAGCAAACACTATCTTATTCAATACTGTATTCTTAGCACCATACATATAGTGCTGGGGGAAAATCAATATAAATTAGAGGAATAAATATACTTCACAGATAAGGAAACTAAAGTTCAGAAAAAGAATATAACATGCCCAACATCATACAGCTAATAAAAGAGCAGCAAGCCTCACCAAAGCTCCCTTCAAGTCTACTGTGCCACATCCTACACTTGGACAGGGTAAAAGAGAGAAAGATCTTAGATGTCTGTCTGGAACTTCAGACTCAATATGGCCAAAAGTCCCTCCTTCTTGAACAAACAAACAAAAATCTGGTCTCTATCCAGGGTTCTCTTTTTCTGAAAATGGCATTCTCATTTGCTCAAGGAAAAACTCAAGTCCTCTTTACTCTCCCTTCTCGCTATCCCTACATCCAATCAATACACAATCTTATCAATTATAATTTTCAAGTTTAGCATCTCTCCAATCGCTTCCCTTCTCTCCAAGCCTTCTGCCACCACCCTAGATCCAAGCCACCATTATCCCTCACATAGACTACAAGCCTGATTTGCTACCTGTCCTTTACATATTCACTTTGGCCAATCCTCTCCTCCAACCTCGCCTCCACTTAATAGCCAAGGTGATGTTTTTCATATCATTTTACATACATAATTCATCTAGCTATTTAAATCGCTTTATTAGGTTTCTGTTGTTCTTAGGATAAAGACCAAAACACACATGAGGCTCAGAAAATTGCCCACTCTCCACACTCTGCCCACTTCTCCAGCCTGGTCTGGTCTCTCTCCCTTTGCTCTACTCCCATAGCCTGATTGACCTCCTTTCCAATCCTCATATTTACCACTCTTTCATTTGTACTTTGAACACGAAGTTTCCCTTGTCAAAAATCCTCTGTCTCCCGGTAATCACCTCTCATTGTCAAGCTAAATTACTCCCACTCACTCTTCAAGTTTCTTAAAGTGTCACCTCCTACAGGAACCCTTCCATGATTTCTAGGCACTCCTATTCTACCATATAGTACATCCCCTTTGGGCAGTAGCATTCATCACACTGTGATTACTTGTCCAATGATCATCTCCCTATTAGAACAGAAGCTCCATGGGGGCAGGGGAAGCTTCTCTTCCTCTCTCTCTTTTAAATATTTTATTTAGGGAGAGAGAGAGAGAGGGAACAAGTACACAAGCAAGCAGGGGGAGGGGCAGAGGGAGACAGAGAAAGAATCTCAAGCAGACGCCACACTGAGTGCAGAGCTCAGTGCAGGGCTCCATCTCACAGCCCTGAGATTATGACCTGAGCCGAAATCAAGAGTCTGACGCTTAACTGACTGAGCCACCCAGGTGCCTGGGGAAGCTTCTCTTTCACTGATGTATCCATAGTCCTTAAAACACAGTAGCTGCTCAATTAATATTTGTCATCAGAATTATGAGCTAGGACCAAACTGTTACTCCCATGAGGCCAAGTAAGCCAAGGGACAAGGATCATTATCCACTTGCAAATATGTAAACAGAGGCAGAAAGAAATGCATAGTTTTTCAAGGGCACAGAAATAGTGATGGGACAAATCTAACCCATTATTCAGCTCATCTTTCCCCCCAAAATACTAAACAATGTTGTTAGGAGATGAAGCATCCTAGAATAAGAAAATTATGAATGAGAAGGTAGTGAAAAAGAGGTCTAGGAAGAAAACTTCTGAATCAGCCTGTCACACTAGTTGCCTCCATACCAACAACAGTTAGTGCCTGGAAAAGCACTAATGTTAAACAAACGAACATAACCACCACCACATTCTTCTCCTTAAAAGAGCAAATAAAAAAATAACATTTTTTTTTCATCCAGGTAGAAGACATCACAGAAGGGAACACTGCTACCACTCCCAGTGTCTTCAAAAAAAAAGCAAAACAAAAAACAAATGGGCAGGAAGGCTACCTGGATTGCTTCTCAGCAATCAACAGAAAAGATGGCCTTCCCACCACTTATTAGAGCAGGAATGGGGGGGCGGGGGGAGTATTAAATGAGGCAGAAGCCTTTTGAAGTCTTCTTATTTGGGGGGAATTAAGAGAAGATTTCAAGTAGAGTATTTGGGTTTGGGGTTGTTTTTGGTTTTTTTTAAGTTTTTATTTATTTAAGTAATCTTTACACACCCAACGTGGAGCTCAAACTCACAACCCCAAGATCAGGAGTCACATGCTCTTCCTCCTGAGCCAGCTAGATGTCCCTCATGTAAAGCATTTTAAAGAAGTCTTTTTTTAAATATTTTTTTAATTTTTATTTATTTATGATAGAGAGAGAGAGAGAGGCAGAGACATAGGCAGAGGGAGAAGCAGGCTCCATGCACCTGGAGCCCGACGTGGGATTCGATCCCAGGTCTCCAGGATCGCGCCCTGGGCCAAAGGCAGGCATGTAAAGCATTTTAAAACCTTGCTAATGCACTGGCAGCTCTTAGTACAGGTACCAATAAAAAGAACAGTGACATGGGCTCAACTGCAACACTGCATTGTCCACAAGCTGCTGAGGCCAAATTATATCTATCACAGAAGCCACAAACCAAGCCAAAGGGTCAGATTCATTGCTGCGAATCCTATCTAGCACCCACTGTAAGAAAAGGAAAAATCAAAGCCTTTTCCAAGAGAAGCTCTGTGGAATAAATACTTGCACAATCTACTTCCACCCTGGAGTTTCTGGGTGAGTTCGAGAAGGGGAAGGGAGGGTATTAAGAAATTGGAAAAATACTTAGACTTGTATATTGGTGATGAGAGAAATTTTGAAACAGAGAGGAAAAATGAGAACTGTAAATGGAGAAACAGAAAGAACTTCAAAAGACATAGAGGGGTGGGGCAAGGAAGGTGCTGGCAAAAGGGTAATGTGCCCAGGACAATAGACAGTAAGCATCAGAGAAACATAGAGAGGCAAAGCCAGGCAATCTTTTCCCAAATCCCAAAGCAGCTCATTGCATCCCAATAAATCACTCTACTACAAAGCCCGTACAATGGACCTTCCTTTGCATTCAGTAACAAGCAGTATTTCATGAAGCATCACCCCATTGCAACTCTGAAGACCTAAGGGTCTGAATTGAAAATGGACAAAATTTGTTCAGCAGAAAACAACCAGGAATGACTTTCACCCAATGCCTGACCTGGCTACAAAAAGATTTGGCATTTTAGAGTTAAGCATAAAATGCTCTGGCATTTCTCCTTGTTTTGACATTCCAGGAGGGGGTGTGGTTGACCCCACGTCCATTCATTTCCAAGGTTGTAGATCTCTCAGCTAAGACTGGCCCCATCTGTTCTGGAGTCAGCCAGCTGTTTATCTCAAAGTAACATTTATTGCACTAATCATCCTAATAACTCTTACAAAAGCCAAAATCATACAAGCCAGAATGCTTTCTATCCTATTAAATGTGTCAGTTCGCTTAAAAACAAAACCCAAAAAAAAAAACAAACAAAAAACACCTCTATGCTCCTTGATTTCCCTGGCCAGGATCACTCTTCTTTTCAGAAGGTTAACAGTACTTCTAACTTTCCCTTTCCCTAATGCATCAAAATGAACCAGGATCTCCCTAATGATCCCTTCTTCAAACCTTTACTTGTGACTGGTGACCGTGCCTCACGAAAAGGCAGCTCATTATGGTACCATTGTCAGTGGCAAGGAGCCTACTGCAACATAATTTAAAACACTCACACGAGCACAAATCTGTCGGCTCCACTTCCAAACAATCCTGCAGTGGGAAGAAGAAAAACACTTAACAAAAATGCTGCTTCCAGCAGCCTAAGAGAAGCTTCCCCAGACACGTGAAATGTTTCTGACTGGCAGGGAGTGCACCATTAAAGGACAGTGTCACCTCAAATCAGCAGAAAAGGCGACACAAACGACACAGACACACACGTAAAATAGAGCCCCACAAAACTTAACCTACTCAGAAGCACGCTCATCTTAAAAATAAATAGTGTGTGCTTGCTCAAGCGACATAGAAATGTTCTAAAGTAGTGCAACCACATTAAATCACTGTCTCCATTTCTCCCCACGCATCACCCCTTCCCACTCAAACCTCAGCACCCTGGAGCCGTAAGTGACAGGACTGCAGTCCCCCACCTCTGCCTTCTTCTGATTTTCCAAGAGCACTTCCCAACATCCTCCCCAGCCCAGCCCCCTCTCCCATCCTCAGAAAGGTTGAGGGGAGTTGCGACTAGGGAATTGGCAGGAATCGGTCCTCTGGCGGGGGTAGGTTGCTAGAGTCGTTCTTTGCAGTGACCCAAATTGCACAGAGCTTTTTGCTTAGCAGCACTTGCGAGCACCTCTCCAATCCTCCCGCCCCCATCTTCCCAAAAGAAAGCCTTGAGAATTAAGCGGGAGGAATAACTTGGTAGAACCATTTGAATAAATCACTTCAACTCACCTGGTTTGGGATATTTCTCCCCACCCCAGGCATAAACAGAAATGATGTGCGAATGAGTCACGCAGGCAAGAGAACGTGTTGCGATGTCCCAAGTCCAAGGGCTGGAGTCAGTCCCTGCCCTGGTGCCGCTGCTACTCTTAGCTCAGCTGGAGCAAGCGGCAAACGCAAGCCCAGCAGCAGCAGGGGGGTGGAGAGACCGTAGCACAATGAATGCAGTGGGGTTTTTGCAATGACATCATCCCTCTGTCCGAAAGGCCCCAATAGCCATGCTCAGGAGCGGTGCACTCTGGGAATCGTAGTCTTCTAAGGGCCCGGCAGGACACCGGGGCTATCTCGGGAACTACAATGCCCAAAATGCGCCAAGGTCGGACGCGCCCAGAGTGGGCCCAGGGAGCGAAGGGGGCTCGGCCGCCATGTTAGGAGTGCCGGGAAGAGTCCGCGGAACCTGGCTGAGGTTTTAGGCAGCGCGCGAGCCGAATGGTGGTGCGGTGGGGTCGGCGAGGTGGAGGGTAAACCGATCGGAGAGCACAGGGCCCAAACCTGGGGACCCAGGTGTAGACGCGGCATCTGGGGGCGGATTGGAGGGCGGGTCCAGCTGGACGCAGTATCCGGAGGCCGACTGGGCCTCGGCCTCGCCGTCCGGCAGGTTGTGGAGGTGCCCTACCCGTCTTCGTCCTTTTCTTGTTAAGGGATTGAGGGAGTCCGTGTACTCCGGGGCCCAGAGCATCACTTAGGCCCGCTTACGGGACCCTCGGAGCGGTCGGTATCCTTGGGCTGCGGGGACCCGGGACGCGACCCTTGTCACTTGGGTCAGCGAAGCCGGCTTCCACCCACGCGGAGTTGGGTTACTCCTCCCAATTTTATTTTTATCTTTTTGTCATTCATATTTCCAACTTTCCTTACCCCTCCGCAAGGTTTCGGACCTTTATCGGTTTTTCGTACAGGAATGATTTGCGGAAGGGTCCGAAGAAAGGGGTGTGTGCTCTAGTAGCCGCGCTGCGGGGCACCGTGCGAAGGGACCGGGCTGTGGCGCCGCGGTGGAGGGAGGACGGCGCGGTCTGAAGGACTCGCGCCCGCTGGGCGTGTCCGGGATGTTAGTGCCCTGTGGACAGCTGGCGGTCGGTTTCGAGGTAACGTGGGTACTTGGGTAAACTTGGAGTGTAGGACGCGGTGTTCGTTAGCATGGGTCACCATGTATTTTATTTTAAAAATACACTTAGTGCTTAGTTTGTGATAGTCCATTTATACGATTAACATTAAGAACTAATTTTTTTTTAAAAAAAGAACTAATTTTTTTTTTGTTCTCAATTAACTGAAACCAAAATCACTGGTCTTTAAGTTATCTTGCTCAAGATCTCAAATGAACTGTATTTTTTTTCCCAATTGTGTTACTAAAACAATGCTGTATATTTGTTCTTTTTCAGAGACTGCACTATGAAAGATGGAAAATGTCTTTTCTTCCTGAGGGTGTCTGAAGGGTTAAAAATGTGATTTTTTTTTTTCCTCCCTCCCTCTTGCACAATTATTCTAAAAACAACATTAGGAACTTGTTACTTTGGGTCGGCAAGGGTATGCATTTCACATCTCTGTTAGGAGTTAGTAATAACAGTACAGTTGATGGATGGGTTCTCCTATCCGGAAAAGCTAGGCAGAGTGATGAAAAAGAATAAAAACATAGTAGAAACAGCCTTTAAGATGTATACAGATGATAACTACAAAAACATAAAAGAATGATCTTCTGTCACGTTTCTGGGAACAAGTCACAACACGAAAGGCTTTGTTTCATTTTTAACAAAGGTAATATGTGTTGGTCTCATCCATGCAGTACAACAATGGGAAAGGCTCATACAAATATTTCTGTTATTCAGAAATACCTTCTTTGCAAGTACTGGTGGTAAGTATAGGAAAGGGAACAAAGTATTTGCTGTGTTCTTTCTGACCATCAGTATAACTATCAAAGTGTTTTACGTTTAACAGAGAAAATAGAGTGGACAACTTTGCATTTAGGCTTAGTTTCAGACTCTTAAATTATTTTTAGGGCTTGGTGGTTCATTGGTATCTTACTTTACAAACCTATAGTGAGTCTTGTTCCTGGTATGAGATAGTTTCTTTATATGAGCAATAGCCTTAATCTGAGTTACGGTGGAAGACAAATTTGTGGGGGCGGGGGCAGATTGCTTAGAAACCTCCTGTGTGTGAAACTAGTCCTATATAACGCAGTGATTTCTATAACTTCTAATTTGTCATATGTTTAGGCAGTTTGAAGTTTTTCCAGCTCATCTCCAGTGGATATCTAACTGTAAAGAATTGAAAGATGTATTTAATACCTAAAAAAAGACTCCATGATTTAACCTTTAACTTTTAGGGAAAAAATCCTGCATTCTTCTTTAGAAATTTTGTTTACAAAGTTAATATTTGAAGAGTTGGTGACACCACTTTCTGAAGGAATATTTGAAGAGTTGGTGACTCCAGTTTCTGAAAGAATAGCTGCAGTATCCCAGAGAAAACATTGGGTTAGGAAAACTGAAAAGTGGGATTAAGAATCCCTTTGGTGTATAAAGCAACTAACATTCTTTTCATCTCTTGGAAAAGGATTAAGGTATTGATTTGTAGTATAATTATAGGTAGCTCATTAAAGAGTATTAGTCATTTGCTCTTATGGCAAGAGTTTCTTCAAGTGTTAAGTGTCAGGATCACTTACAGAGCTCTAAAGGTACATAGCTATCGTCCACTCATCCCTGCTGAATTACTCTGCTGGGTTGAAAGCAGTTTTTGTGTATTTTTAAAACTATGAGTGAATGTACAGGGGTAGGGTAGAGTAGTCCTCTACGTCCTCTATTTGTGTTTCTCGTGATGCATTACACTAGTAATAACAAAAGTCTTGGCAAAGATTTTGGTTTTGTCACTAATTATACCCGTAAATGAGTTCTGAAAATGTGTAGATGAGAAAATGATCTGGAGATCACTTTATACATTAAGTGAGACGGTAGATTGGGGGAGATTTCAGTTTAGCATTATGAGAACCATGATATCCTGACTTACCTAGATATTTTTTAGAGTGCATTGAATGTAACACCAGAAAGTAATGATAAGAAACCCAAGTAAGAGTTCACACTATCTCAAGATTATGGTAAACTACTCAGATATTTAAGAGAGTCAAGTATTGAAAGAGGCAAGATGCTAGGATTTTCTGAAAAAAATTTTCTTTTTTTTTTCAATAACTCCTTTCCTTGCGCTGAATCCTAAATTTTTAAAATTATTGATATTGTCTAAGTATTATTGACATTAGGTAAATGATATACAATAGAGTATAATTTTTTAATTCAAATTAAATAAATTTAAAAAAAAAAAACTAAATAAGGGACATTCCGATGGCTCAGCGGTTTAGCACCGCCTTCGGCCCAGGGCATGATCCTGGGGACCCAGGATCAAGTCCCACATCAGGCTCCCTACATGGAGCCTGCTTCTCCCTCTGCCTCTGTGTGTGCCTCTTTCTCTGTGTGTGTTTCTCATGAATAAATAAATAAAAATCTTAAAAAAAAAAAAAACTAAATAAAAACTAGCCACAGAGTAGTTAGAACCCCAAGGAGAGGGATTACCTCAGATAGATTTTTCCAACAATTTGTTAAGTCAAATGTGTGAGACCAAGTTCCTAGCAAAATATGGTTCTCTTTCTTCCCTTCAAATAGTGATACAGGGCAACAATCTATTTCAGCCCATACTACTTAAAGGAATGTGAAATGCCTGTTACTAAGTTAACATTCCTACAGTTGTGCCTGACTGAAATTTTTTAAAAATCGCATAATAAAAACTTTAGTTTGTGTACCTATATGTAGTTTGAAAAAGCCCTAAGTTGATTATGACAGTCAGGCTTTGTCTTTTTTTTTTTTTTTAAAGAAAAGTGTTTTTTATTTTTTAAGATTTTATTTATTTATTCATGAGAGACACGCACAGAGAGAGAGAGAGAGAGGCAGAGACACAGGCAGAGGGAGAAGCAGGCTCCATGCAGGAGCCCGATGTGGGACTCGATCCTGGATCTCCAGGATCACACCCCAGACTGCAGGTGGCGCTAAACCGCTGCGCCACCCGGGCTGCCCCAGAATCACTGCAGTTAATTCCCTGAAGGAAAATGATGTTCTAAATTATGAAAAATGTTAGAATTATTTCATATCTTACAAAATTCTAAAGTAATACTTTTATATTCCAAGCTATGAAATTTGAGAAAACAGCTGTTTTCTGCCTTTCTGTATCTTTTCCAAAATAGAATTAATTTTCTTACGTATCTCAGAAATGAAATGTCAGCAACCCTAAGGTGATAGAGACCCAGTAGTTTTATTAAAAATTATTCTAACCTGATCAGAGTTGAGATAAGCAAACTTAAAGAGGAAAACATTTTACCAAAAGATATCTTTTCAGACCTCAGATTAAATTAGATGTTTCCTAGTGTACATTCTGGATAAACAAAAGTAAGCATGACATAGAGTTTAGCACCTCTTGGGTAGATCTTAACTCATTCTGGAAATTAATATTTCATATTTCAAACACTTTGCTTTGCCTTAATATTCAGGAAACTAAAATGTAGTTTTTCTAATTTTGCTTAGTTAACTCATTGCGTTTATAACAAATTGACATAATTTTAGCTGCTGGATTTTATAGGCCACTGAAGGTAAATGCTGAAAATACCCTGGGCCAAGATTTAAAATCCAAATGTCCATAGTTAATGATTAACCAGAAAAGCAAGCCCTGTTGATTTTATTTCAATTTTTAATAGGTTTGGATAATTGTAGCACTAGAAAATACTTCCTTGCAAGAGTAAGGACATGAAGATGGATTTAATCAAATATAAATGTCTGAACATAAAGCCTTTTAAGGAAACTACAGAAATGTGCAGTTGTAAACAATTATGCAAATAGACACATACTTAATTCTTAACTTGATATAGTCTTTAGAGGGGGCTATATGGATTTGAACTTGCTGTAAATATTAATCCTCAGTGACTTGTATCTTAAAACCTTTTAGGAAAGTTCATCAGTTACCCTCTTAACACTCTTGATTTGATGAATTTAGCACATAGGTGTTTATCAAATTGAACAGCCTGGGGACTTTGAGCTACTACTCTAAGATACTCAGAAGATAAAATTTAGTGACCATAATCTTTGATATAAACT